ACTAGGAGAAAGTAATTTCTCAGTTACATTAACTCGCACTTAATTTCTCCTGTGCTAAGCAGAAGATATCTCTCATTTATCTATTTCACATATTTTGGCAGGATTTGTGTTTTCATAAGTGTTAAGAACAGATTATTTGCAGAAAATTATAAAAGTAGTGAAGCAGAGAAGGACATAGGATACTTTACTATATTATTAGTTTTTAAATAGACTCCATATGTACAACATATCAATCATTCACTCTCTCTGACTGCATTTTCCTCTCTTAAAAGTATATATATACTGAACCACTGACTTCTGGTTTTATTGGGAAAGCTCTCTAACTTGAGATCGACACCACTCTGAAGCTTTAGTTTCACCCCTGGAAATTACTGTGTAATAATCATATGAATTCAGAGCTCACTTTCTATTGTTTCTTCTTTGACTCTTCTTTAATGTGATGGTTTGTCTGTGATCATTACGACACATAATTTCACCACGTGAAACATTATTTTAGTTTTGGTAGCCCCTTAGGCAAACATGAGTTAATCCTGTTATTTTTTAAAGTCTTATGATCATGTACAGAGATATTGATTGGCAATATTTATTTAAAATATACTTAGATTTAAAAAATGTATATTATTAGAAGGTATAATAACAATAATAAGCTTGCCTTTCTGGAGTGCCATCATAATATTATTATGCCATTTCAATGGTGTCTTTTGCTTTACAGGGGTAAATACACCTCATAAAGTTTGAATATTATGAATTTTCTTGGAAAGCTAAATTATTTTATAGCGTTTGATTAAAATTTCATTGATGTAATTTAATTAACATTTGTAATTGTTAAAAATTAGAACTTACGTCTTTACTGAAAACAGTCAGAATACAGTTAAGGGAATGCTATGTACCTTTATCCTGATAGTCATTTTCTAATGTTGGCTGCTCTTTCCTTCTTGAAATGTTATTTTCTGTTGGCATTCCTACAATCCATTTTCTCAATTTTCTTTTAATCGCTCTACCTACTCCAACTAAGTCCTTTTGTAGGATTCTTCTCCTCCACCTGCTTAATAGTTTTCCCAAAGCCTAGTCAGTGTGGCTAAATATCTGCTTGAACAAAGTAAGAACCTAGTTGCAATAAATAGTTTTATATTTTTTATGTCTAAAAATCATATGTCCGTTTCTTTAAGCCTCGATCTTTTGTTTGCAAAAAGACTCCCTCTAAACCATAAATAAATACACAATAATGACATGATCTTACAGGCAAATAATATGACAAATTTTTTTTGTGAAGAAAATACTATTTCTTGTGTATGATTGTTATGCAATAAACATATTTTCAAAACATTGTAGTTGGAAATGATCTTACCATTAACATACTTGGACTCCTTACTTCATAGGTGAAAAAACAAGTCTCCAAAATTTAAACTAACTAGTACAAGCACATACAACAAATTAAAAACAACACCAACATACTAATTTGAATGCTTTTTATGCTTAATTTGCATCTAGCATGTGTGGTTTATTAGTGTAATAACTCATTAAGGATTTAAACCACTATATAGAATAAATTTGTATAATGCCTTTTCTTTACAGTGATTTTAATAAAATTGCTAATCTGGGTTCATATCAGGAAGGAGACCCTAGAAATGTAAGGGTAGAACCCTGAATTTTGGAGTTTTTGTTTGTTTGTTTGTTTGTTTTGAAACAGAGTCTTGTTCTGTCACCCAGTCTGGAGTGCAGTGGCGGGATCTCTGCTCACTGCAACTTCCACCTCAAAGGTTCAAGCAATTCACCTGTCTCAGTCTCCTGAGTAGCTGGGACTACAGGGGCAAGCCACCACACCCAGCTAACTTTTGTATTTTTAGGAGAGATGGGGTTTCACCATGTTGGCCAGGTTGGTCTCGATCTCTTGACCTCATGATCTACCTGCCTTGGCCTCCCAAAGTGCTGGGATTACAGGTGTGAGCTACCATGCCCAGCCTGTGAGTTTTAAAAGAACAGAAGATTAAGTGGCATGATTTTAATAAGAAGGATGAAGACCAATGATTGCCCATTTTCTATTAAAAATAATGATATTAATGTTTTTGCAATAAAATTCTATATGTAACTTATTTATTAAATAGACCAGATTCAATAGGATTTTATAGAATATAAAAATAACTTTGTCATTTTTCCTACCACTGCTTTAAGAAACCTTTTATTCTACTTGTTTCTATTCCTTGCAAACAATTTAGGTTAGATCCTTTAGGTTTCTGAGTTCTTTAAAGCATTTGAGAAATTATACTAATTCTAGCAATGATTGACTAGTTTGTATTGGACTAGTATAAAAATGAAAATTGCAAATTCAGGATCAAATTGAAAAAAAAAAAAATAGAAAGGACTAGAGAGTAACACAAAGCAGGCAGAAACTACCGCGTTTGAAAATGGTACGTGCACTGGGTGGGGCCCTCCTTTGTAAGGCTTATTCATTGAGGACCTACCTCAGTTCAGGGCATATGGGGTGGACAGAGCTCAGGTAGAAAGTCTTGTTAACTAACTTGTAAGAGGATGGAGTTTGAATCAGCTAGGGTCGCCAGAAATTGAGAAGGGAAACACAAGAAGGAGGATGCCACAGAAGAGTGAGCCCCAAAATCTGTGTATAAACTTTCTAAAATCCTTAGCTGACTGCTAAACTGCACATATATGGGAGAAATCCTAGGAAAATTAGCAAAGAGTAATGGCTAGAAGGCTAAAAGGGCTGAAGAGGGGATTACAATGGTTGCCTATGACAGGGAAGATACAGATTGAATTTTGAGTTCCTCTAAGTCAGAAGGACTTGAGGAGAAACACAGACTTTCCCCAGAAACTCCAGAAGGCTCTTATTTTAGAAATACGCGGATTACAAAAACCAAGGGATTTGCCCTAGGAACTGACTAAATTAAATAGACCTGCCTTAACATATGTTTAAAGCTAAATCTCCACAAATTCAAGAGGAACAGATAGTGATTTAACTATCCACTGAAACAAAAATCAGTCTTTTTCAGAACACGCAATCTCAGAGACATAATCACAAGTCTTAATAATGTATTAACCACAAGGTCCAATATGCAATCAAATATAACCAGAAATGTGAAGAAACAGGAAAAATATAATGTATTCTGAGATAAGATGTTGAAATTTTAGCAAAAAAGAACTTTAAAAACAGTCATTATAAATGTGATCACAGACTTTTAAGAAAAGATAGTCATAACTGATTTTTTAAAAAAGGAAAACAGCAGAAAAATATAAAGTTATTTCAAAAAATTCAAATTCTAGAAAGAAAAAACAAGCAATCTAGAATGAAAAAGCTACTGAATGGACTTAACAAAAATTTGAAGGTGGCAGAATATCAGTAAACTTGAAGGCAGATCAAGACAAATTGTCAAATCAGAAAGTCAGGGAGTAAAAATATCTTAATAAAATAAGCAAGGCCTCAGTGACAGGAGACAACATTAAGTGATCTAACTTGAATGTTCTCTGAGCCTCAAATCAAGAAAGAGAAAGAAAAAAGGGTAAAAAAATTTTGAAGAAATGTTTATTAATGTAACATATCCTAGAAGTTTTGTGAACTCTCAGCACAATAAATGCAATGAAAATCATATCTATACTATCATAATTAAATTTATAAGCACCAAAAATGAAGAGAAAATTGTAAAATGGCTACCAACACATACAAAAAATGTACTACATAAAAAGAATCAGGATACAGATGATGGCTAATTTCTTATCAGAAATAACATATGGCAAAAGATGATAGAATCACATCTTTAGAATGATGAATATTAGAAAAACCTGTAAATTCAGAGTTTGATGTCTAATGAGAATATAATTTTAAAATGAAGGTTAAAAAAGACGTTTCAAGGTAAACAAAAGTTGAGCGTATATGCTGCCTACATAGGACTGCACTTCAAGGCATTCTAAAGAAAGTTCTTCAGGCTGAAGGCAAATGATACCAAATGGGAGCTCAAATATTTGTAAGGAATAAAGAGCCCAGACATGGTAGATAAGTAATTAAATTCCAGTAACTGTCTTTTTTCCTTCTTTTTATCCTTTAAAAGACAATAAATATTTAAATAAAAAAACCATGATATTTGGTATGAGGTTAATAAAACATAAATATGTGACCACATAGCAAAAAGGAAATTGTATTGTTGAAAGTTTATTACTTTTTATGTGAAGTAGTACAATATTAACTTTAGATAGAATGTGGTAAGTGAAGAATGCATATTATGACCTCTAGACTAACCGTGAACAAAAATACAAAGGGAGACAACTAAAGGCAATAGGAATAATAAAATCAAATACTGAAATATATTTAATTAACCCCAAGAAAGACAGGAAAAGAAGCAACAGAGAAAAAAGTAGTATACATATAAACCAAATAGTAAGTTATAAACCTAAATCCAACTATTCAATAATTTATGAGGAAGACATAATAGTTATGAACGTCTACGTACAAAAACAGAGCCTGAGAAAGCTGAAGCAAATTCTGACAGGACTAAAGAAAGACACATAGGTTTTAAACACCTTTCTGAGAATTGAGAGAACAAAGAAAAATATATGCGTATATATAGACTGAAAACTATGCATTAGATCCGAGAACTAAATGATTAGTTTCTAAGTGGTGAATGTTTTAATTTTTTTCCTAATAACATCGTATTTTTTAAAAGAAAACAATAGTACAAAGTGCGTGTGTAAGTTACATTGTGATTTCATCATGTACCATATACTGACAAAATGCTTTGGAGGGTAAGTTGAGCAAAGAAAAGGCCTTCTTGTAAACCCTTTTCTATTATAGGATATATTTTAACATTTAGCTTTATTTTGTCATCTACTTTTCTTTCCATAAAGTTCATAAAATAGTGTTAAGTGAGGCTTTTGCACTCAACTACACACTACACCACCACCTAATTACATCACACCTATTTTATAAGAAATCAGCTTCAAGGTGTTACTATTGAACCTTTAGGAATGAGACAAATAAATAAACAAATTCTTACCTTAAAGACTAGTTCTCCTACCAAGCCATTCCATGTCCCATCTTCCTGTGGGCTTCCATATTTGTGATCCGGTGCTACATAAATTTCATAGTTAAAACCCAGGTAGTTAGATAAGGCATCCAAAACGTCAATGGAGAAGCCCTGGTATTTCTTCGGCTTACCCAAGACATTTTCAGAGACCATCACAAAAGGTTCTTCCTACACGGAAATAAGAGAAATTTCTGATGTCAATCCAAATTGCTTTCTGAAAGCAAAGAGTAATTCTTTAGAGAATTTTGCTTATTAAATCTAGAAATTGCTTCATACTTTGGAAGAACCAACTCAGGAATATAATTCATGTGTTATTAATGAATCATACTGTTTAACAATGCTTAATCATCCAATTTCTTCTCATCTCCCTTTTAATTATTACCATATCCAAAATCAGATAAAAGTGACTTAAAAACTTAGGGTCCAAGAATTTATTTTCTCTGCCATCTGAGGAAAAATCGGAGATTACTCAATAATGAAGCATTCAACAAACTATAAATTTATCATATTTATCATTAGGCATTTATTATCTGTAAATCATGTAAATTACATACAACAAAATTATAACAGATATAATCTACATAAAACTCTCTGAAAATACCCAAAAATTCTAAGAACATATAATTTAGTTGCAGTTAATAATATTACATTTACTGGGAGTTATTCACTAAGTAATTTTGTGACTTTGATATAAACACATATTTTATTGCAAAAATAGCTTCTTTATGACTGCAATGAGAAATTCACTTACCTTTTCAATAAACTGTCTAATTTAGTAAATTTAGTAAATTGGTTTCTGCTTCTACTTCTTTTATCTTTTCCCATTTTTGTCTTCTTAAAACTAACAAATAGGCCCCTTTCACTTTTGAGAGCACCTGCTGTTAAGAGAGCTTGATTGATTTGAAACATGCTGCCAGACTACAGAAAATTAGATAATCTGTTCCTTAATTTCCTACACTTGTTCAGAAATCTTTCAGCAACAGTAATATTTACAGATAACCATTCATACTCCATCCAGCCCTCTGGGCAGGCTAAAATCTCTCCTTGTATATAAGCCAGAATACCCAAAGATATTTTTTGTTTGTTTGTTGAATCATTTTTCCTCAGGGACTCACAAAATAGCCCTCATAATGCTTTCATTTTGGCTTTTAGTCAAAGACACTGTAAGTAGCTTATAAAAATCACTGCACCTGCACCTGTTATAGGAATATTGTCAACCATAATATACAGTTTTCTCCCTAAAAATTACCATGAGATAAATTTTGTAATTGTTCAGGGTCAAAGGGCTTCATTTGCCTCAGTAGTGTATTTTTCAAAATGATGAAAACAACGTGACCAATTATTGAGGCAATGCTTTTCAGTTTGGCTATCCAAAAAAATCAGTACTTAAGTTTGATGTTCATCTAAAACTATGTTGATATTGTAGTATTTATAACATTTATTTAATCTTGGTTATCTAAAGTGCTTACATTTTCTAATTTTGAAAACATTTTTGTTTCACTGTTTATATGTTATTTTAGAGTAAAATGAACCAGTAAATGGACAGTTAGTAGGGTAGGTTACACCAAGAAAAAAGGAGAAGTCCATGTCCCTGACACCTAAAATGCTGTACACCACTTGGGTCAACTTGCTATAGCTGTATGATGAAAGAAAGAGAAAGAAAGAAAGAAAGAAAGGAGAGAGAGAGAGGGAGGGAAGGAGGGAGAGGGAGAGGGGGAGAGAGAGAGGAGAGAGAGGAGAAAGAAAAAAAGAAAGAACAAATGAAAGGAAAGAAAGAAGGGAAGGAGGGAGGGAGGAAAGGAAGGGAGAGAGAAAGAAAGAAACAGAAAAAAGAGAGAGAAAAAGAGAAAGAAAGATATTTCCACCTCTTTTTGATAAGCTACTGATTTTTTTTCCTGTTACAGTAGTAGTTTATATTAGGGAATATTGAAGATCATTAGATCTGTAGATAGAGGTTTTCAGAATGAATCAAATTTGTAATAATACTGACTTGTTTAATATAAATGACATTATAAAATAAGTGAAAAGTGAACAAGAAATACTTTAATATTAATTGTAAAATACCACACATCTTGGTATTTCAAATATTCATATATTTAAAATACATAACAAAACTTTAGGCAATGGGCAGAATTTGCTACCTGTCATTTGGTTGTTTGGACAACATATAGAACTAGCCAATGACTATACATTGTATAAATACCTTAAAGTTGGTTCTGAGATGATTAGAATCAGAATGGATTGAAGAAATTCTAAAATAAAGATCAAATTCACAGAGCATATAAATAAGATCATAAAGTTCTATAATTAATACAGTCTTGAATACCTGTATTGTGATATATGATGGCAACAGAAAGCATGTACTAATTTTCTTATATGCAACCCATTCATTTCTAGATTTTGAGCATCTATCAATCAGCAAACTAATTTTAAGAGGATTCATGGAAGATATTATTTGCCTGGCTCTTCTACCAATAATTGAAAGTTATATGTATTCTCTATTTTTCAGGACCTTCAAAGCTGAAAAAAATCAGCTATGTTTTTCAGTTTAAATCACCAGGGAGTTGAATAAAACTCTTTGATGTGATACTAAAAAGTTATGAACCTAATTATTGCATAGGTAAATGATAGATGTGGCAAAAATATTGTCTCAACGTATATGTTGGTAAGAAAAATTATTATTAATTCTTTTTCTTTTTCTTTTCTTTTTTTTTTTTTGAGATGGAGTTTTGCTCTTGTTACCCAGGCTTGAGTGCAATGGCGCGATCTAGGCTCACCGCAACCTCCGCCTCCTGGGTTCAGGCAATTCTCCTGCCCCAGCCTCCTGAGTAGCTGGAATTACAGGCACGCGCCACCATGCCCAGCTAATTTTTTGTATTTTGAGTAGAGACGGGGTTTCACCATGTTGACCAGGATGGTCTCAATCTCTTGAGCTCATGATCCGCTGGCCTCGGCCTCCCAAAGTGCTGGGATTACAGGCGTGAGCCACCGCGCCCAGCCTCTTTTTCATTTTTAACTCATAACCTGTAGGCCGATTTAGTATTCTAAATGGTTATACTTTCTTTGGTATGTTAAATTTCTTTCTTGAAATGACTTTAATTCTACCTTCATAAGTAAATCTCTAGGCAAACTGATCTCTTGTACAAGTCTATTGTCAAAATCTGTTCCTAGCAATGTCACCTATAATTGGGTAAAGATACAGAATAGAAATGGTATACTAAGGGCACTTGTAAAATGAATTATTGATGAACATGCCTTTTAAATTTTATACCCTAAATAAACTTTTATTTCATCCTATCATTCTTCATCTGGATCAATGTTTTTAAAGCTTTATTTTTAAGCTCTATTACAGATTTGGACCATTACTCATAAATTGTAACTCTGACTAACACTCTATGAGTACAACCAGCCAATATATTGGACAGGTAAACAGCAAAGGGAATTCAGTTGAAGCTCTGTGTGAGAACTATAATAGAAAAGATACTTGTTCCTTCTCTGTGGTAATACTTAGTTTGTTTTGTTCACTTTTATCTGTGTACCTACCTCCAAAATTTATTCATTCTTTGATTTATCCATTTAACATTCATTGAGCAGCTAGCTACTGCATCAAGGTACTACACAATATAGTGTGAGATATGGTAAAAAGTCATGGATATTATCCTCAAAATAATTATACCCTATTAGTGGGGCATATATTCAATCAGTGTGCTCAAAAAATATATATAAAGAAAGAAAAAGCAACACACACTGTAACTGGTACTGACAGGACAACAAAGAAATACAGTAGAAACTGTAAAAAAAAAAAAAAAAAAAAAAGAAAGAAAGAAGAAAGAAAAAAAGAAAAGGAAAATTTTGATTTTGGGGGTTACCAGCTATGTACTTTTCTAATAGATGAGAAAACTTAGGAAGAATCTCAACCCAAAGTCACACAATATGTTACAGCAGAAGGAGGCATCATAATCTGCCTTACTTGAAGCTTACTGTCTTGAAGCTCAATTTTTTTTCGACCTATCGATTAATATCCAGGACTACATAGTTTATCTCAAATTTCAACACAATTTATGGTGGTACACTGGGAGAGGCTCCAGATACCTGACAGAGAAAAACACAATCCTCTCTAGAAAAAAGTATCATTACTTTAGATATAACATGATTCTTTCAAAATAACTTTTTGAATACAATGTCCAAAGCAAAAATTAAAGTTACCTGGTGAAAATAAATATTAGGTCGGTGTAAAAGTAATTTCAGTGTTTGCCATTAAAATTAGTGGCAGAAACCTCAGTTACTTGTGTACCAACCTAATAATTCTTCAAAAATAGAATCTTCAGAAAAACAAAGAACAGAAATAGATCTCTCAATAATTTAGGTATTAGAATTTTCAGATGCATATTACAAACATGATGTTAGTGTTTGAAAAAATGAAGGGCAACTTTTTTTTTTGGGGGGGGGGGTCAGGAAACTAGAAACTACAAAAAGTGTTGTTACAGAGTTGAAAAAGAACCAAACAAATTTGAGAATTAGAAAAGACAGTGGCCAAAGTTAACACATGAACCAGTCATTAGCAGATAAGAAACAGATGAAGAAAGAATTAGTGAATTGCAATAGGTCAGAATTAATATCCATGGTGAAAGAATAAACAAGAGGATAGAAACTCCCAAAGCAAGAATAAATAGAGAAACAGAAAGTGAGGTAGTCTGATAATTCCAAGTATGTCAGGCATATAAAAAAAAAATAGAAGTGCTCCTATTTCTAGAAACAGAAATAGAAACAGAGTGAATAGCATTCACTCCTGTTGGATGTATAAATTTAAAACCTTTTAAAAAATATTTCGACTTGCCTAGTAGCATATAGAGCTACTTATATACAAGTTAATATTACTTGGTTTTAAGTATTACATGAATATCTAGTATGAAGATATGTGTGGCTACGTCCTAGAAATTCCACTCCTTGGGTAAGAAAACAAAAGAATACTGGGCACCAAATTATATGTCCAAGAATGTTTATAGCAGCCTTGTCTGTAATAGCTCAAATTTGGAAACAATCTAAAAATACAAATGCCCATCAACATGGAAAAGATAAATATATTGTGATACATTGATGCAGTGGAATACTAAGCAGCTTAAAATTGAAGTAACTGAAGCTGTACCCTCATATGAATGAAAGTTTAA